CTTCAAGTGTTACGGTTCTAAAATTGTAGGTGTTCAAGTAGATACGTGAATTGGGCATAAATGTGGCTCTTTACGGAAAAGGTGCCCAACCTGGTCCCCCTGAAAATGAACTTGACCCACAAACACACCTTTGGGTAGCTAGAAATGGCAGTGAACTTTGGAAGACTGTCGAAAGACTCTGGGAAGCCCAAGCTTTCCTCCTCCGGGTGGAATGTGCTGGAATGCCGTTGGCGGCACGTATCCCTGGTGCATTCCCTGACGTGCTCCTCGTACCACCGAGGCTTCCCGTGCACTGCCATTCCCCTGGCAGCTGTGCAAGGAGGAGCCTGCGAAGCAGCTATTTCCAATCCGAGCGAGCTCCCCACCACTTCTCAATTTCAGATAGGCGGTTTTTACACAGAGCCTTGGTTTTACAATGGCTTCTAACTTTGCAGTCCTTGATGCGTCCCCGTGTGCAGTTGATAATAGGAAAAACAGGTGAAGTGCTAAGTCTCACTCAAGCTGTCCACTTAGCTATTTTTACCCTCAGTGAGCTGAATCAGCTCTCCCTGTGTTCCTTTCCTAGAACAGAGGAAATCAGCACCTTTTGAACAAGAGGCCAGAGGAGATGCATTCTCCTTCACCACAGAGGCCTACCCACTTCATCCCTCTAGTTTTGTGCAGTGGTCTTGGGAGACACACACTTCCTTCTCCCAGAGGAGTTGCTCTGAGCTGTGGAAGCGCCTTGGAGAGCCTCACGCCTCTCCTGACATAGCCCAAGTAGCCAAAGCTGCTCTCCTTGGCCTATAAACCAGTTTTAGGTGAGAATGACGGATTATTTTAATCCCTCTTCACCTCTTCACATTCCAGCCCTAAAAGCGGCTAGAGGTAGAGGCCTTGGAGTTGATGGTGGAAGGGTTATGACATTTAGGGCTGTTGGGATGGAGAGAATGTATTTTGCATGCAAGGAGACACAGATTTGGTGGGGAGGATGTTGGGTGTTATGGGCTGAATTTGGCCTACCCCTCAGCACCTCATAATCTGACTGTATTTGGAGATGGGGGGGGTCTTTAAAGGGATAATTAAGTTAAATAAGGTCATTAGGAGGGGTCTGGATCCAATATGACCAATTTCCTTATAGAAAGGGAAAATTTGGACACAAAGATGGGTAGAGGAAAGATGATATGTGAAGACACAGGGAGGAGACGGTGGCCGTCTCCAAGCCCAAGAGAGAGGCCTCAGAGGAAACCAGCCCTGCTGATGCCTTGATCTTGGACTTTAAGCCTCTGGAACTCTGAGACAATAAATATCTGTTCTTTAAGCCACCTGGTCTGTGGTATTTTATTACAGCAGCCCGAGCCAACTAAAACAGTTTTCCGTACAGCACAAGTGTGGTACAAGGTCACACCAGAGAGAACTATTGGACAAACCACTCTCTAAAAATGTACCTGGACAGGTGTCCCTACAATGATAGGGAATAAATACAGCCTATTTTTATTGGGTGTATTTTATAAACCTAACTCTTCGGAGGATTCATTAAAGACTAAGGAAAGGAGACTGATGTACCCTAAGGACATGACATTGTGCAGTTTTTATTGTGGGGGAAAAAAGCACGACACCACCAAACTGGCAATTTCTCACAATACCAGGTGCGTTACAGATTGGTGTGTGGGCTTTTGTGAATTGGTTGCATATAAATGAGGAACATTTAAATAAAAAGGAGATCTAGAAACTTTCACTAGTTTGGGGCTTTTATTTATAGCTACTTCTGCACAGTGCTTATTTCCCTTAGCCTGTGAGTCTTGAGCCATGGCAATCCAAGAGGCTTTTGCATGAAGTGCTATTGGTTTCAGTGTTCAGATAGGGAGCTGCAAGCCCCTCCTTTATGTGGAAAACAGAGAGAATGGCCTGAGAAAGTGGGGATGCTGGGAAATCTGGTTTGCAGAGGGTATGATTTAGTGGAAAGAGAATGGAACCCCATGAAAGCCCGTGCTGAATCCAGCCCAAGTAGGACGATCACGGTATGTTAAAGCATTCTTTAGCTTTCTAGAACCACTGTGTCTTTGGCTTCAAAGTGAAGGGCTGGACTAGGAGAAGGCTAAGGTCGCCTCCCACTCTGATTCTAGGGATTCAGGAGGTCAAGAGTCAGTGCTAGCCATGGCTTTTGGAGTGGGAGAACAGAGCCCCAAACTGCCCTATCCTAACCTCCCCATTTGACCAAGTGATATTGTCTTCTCCTTAAATGGTCTCAGGGGACATCTCTCTCAGGGCACTTGCCAGCGTGGTGCTGTCTGCATGCAGTTCCCAAGCCCACTGTCCCCCTTCTGAGCCGTACCACTCCTTTGCCTTCTTTACTGCTCTGCTCAGATATTTGCTGTTCGGTGCCCTCTTTTTGGCTCTGGGAACCAGTCACAGGGGAAGATTTTAATCCTGCAGTTTTGTTTTTGGGTCTTTTCCTCCCATGTTCTAGGAAGATCAGACTGAGAGTATGTACTACCATCTTGCATTAACTCATTTCTCTCATCTCTGAATGGATCGGATCGTGATATGATGATCAAACTGCTGGATAGTGTAAAGGAGATGGTGCAGATACTATCAGTGCGGTGAGCACCTAGTAAGCACTCATATGTTATGTTTCTTTCTCCTTTGCAAAACTTCTGTACTCATTATCTGCCCCACATATTAGTAGGTCTTATGTTGCCAATACACGTTTAACAACTAGATAGTAAACTCCAGGTTAGGCTCATGTCAGACTTGTTTATATTGTGACTCCACGACAAGTTACTGTTTTGCATCACCTAGAGTAGGTCCTGATTGATTAATTCTTGGTTTGTGATCTTCATCTAAGGGCTATTCCTTCAATGAATCCTTGGTTTCAGGGACTGTCAAGATTTAGACACTCATCATTCATTCTCACTGTTGGTTCAGATTTGCCTCTGAGCCTTCTGAGCACCTCCCTTTGCCATGGAAATTTTAGACTCACTTCTAAGATGTTCACACCTATTGATGGTACTTACTTATTTTTAAATAGATGTGACAGTGTTTAACATGCATCTGAAATCAAACACTGAGTGTTGGTTGTAGACAAAATCAGCCCATATCCAAACAACCCATTGTTAATGATGTTAGGAAGGAAACTGGGATCCTTGGGATTGTTACGAGGAGGCAGAGATTTTCTAGGGGCGTATAGACCCAAACAAGTAGAATCACAGGAACATGATTGAATTTGTATTTTCCCAAAGGTACATAAAAAATAAGCCATGAAAAGTAGTGCTCTTCAATGGAAATTTATAGAACACATGGATTTGGGGAGAAGTTTGGGGCTACTAGGATTCAGTGAGACTGCTCTATTTCCAAGGGCTTATTTAGGAGAGGGATGCTCGGACCCATGAGTTGACTTGGACTCAGGCTCCTTGATTTAAAGCTGAGGGAACTGGGGATGGTTAGCATGGGGAAGAGAAAATTCTGGGTTACAAGGTAGTAGTCTTAAAATATCTGAGAGCCTGTCTTGTGAAAGAGGAAATGTGTTTGTTCTGCATCCCCGTGACAATCACAGGGGGTTCACTTTGCCATCTCAAGCAGCCTGGCTTCCTTTCTTTTTTTTTTAATTTTTATTTATTTATGATAGTCACACACACACACACACACAGAGAGAGAGAGAGAGAGAGGCAGAGACACAGGCAGAAGGAGAAGCAGGCTCCATGCACCGGGAGCCCGACATGGGATTCGATCCCGGGTCTCCAGTATGGCGCCCTGGGCCAAAGGCAGGCTCTAAACCGCTGCACCACCCAGGGATCCCCCTGGCTTCCTTTATCACATCATTAACAATAGATTGTTTTGATATGGACTGGTTTTTGTCTGCAATTTATGTTCAGCACCCATCAGCAGAACTACAACCTATGGGTGAAAGGGGCAAGAAGAAAGATTTTTGTACTGCTTTAGGCAGAGCTTTCTAACCATGAGCTGAGGCGTAGATGGAGTCATTGGACAGGGTGAGTGGAGAAGAGGAGTTTGGAGTCGGAATACCACCAGGGCTCCTTCTGGTCCTGGGATCATGATTCTTTATATCTGAGTCTGTAATTTTAAAGAATGGACTCAATCATAAGTTCAAAATTTCAAGGGCAAGCGTCTGAGATGATTTGAAATAGAACAAAACTAGGACTGTTAGCGGAGTTGGTTGTAAAGTTTTTTTTGGTTTCTCTTTAGTTCTTGGACTAGAAAAATGTCCAAGAATCAATCACATCCCCAAAGGTAAGCTAAGTCTGTTGAAGATCTCAGAGTTCTCTTTGTGGAAGACCATGGACTGAGAGTATCATGACTCACCCAAATAACATAGAGAGGTCTCTACAAACACACCAGTAGGAGGGCAGGAGGCAATTATTTGAAGAATGAGGCAAGAAAGTGGTAGCTTAGCCTTGAGGGAGCCAAAAATTATTCTTCATATGGCACTGAGTGAAGTTATCTGCACCTTGCGTAGTCTTTGAAAATTCATTTACTGTTTTCTGTTCCATCTGTGACATGGGGACAGTAAAATCTTTTACAAAACCACTAGGAGGATGGTATTGAGGGTTTATTACCTGGTAATTCTATACCTTGTGGCATGAAAATGGCTATCAAAGTAATATAAGGGAACAACAAGATCTTACCCGTGAGAGCATACATGCGGCAGTAGCTAGTGAAGTTGAATTGTTTGCCCTCGTAATGGAAAACAAACAAATAAGCAAAAAATAGTATGGTAGGGCCAGGGATGTGGTTCTCCTCTGTTTGCACAAATACAGCTTGGTATTTTGATAAGATTCCTTCTCTTGGGAAAATATCAATGATTTGGTCCCTTGGAGATTTAACACAAAATGGAATGCATGCAAGTAAGGTGGGTGCAGCCTTTATTTGTTATGAAACAGCTCACTCAAAGCACCAATTAGAATTAATTCAGCTGAATCTACTTAGCTGCTCACAGTCCATTCATGAAAAACCACACTTTGTCTCACTGCTTGCAACTTCAGACTTCTCCGTTTAGATAAGACGGTGTTCTAGTTCCAGCTACCCAGGGACATGGATGGAGAAATGAAATCTCTTTGACTCTTCACTTTTAAGATGGATCTATCAGGATGTGTTTTGCTGCAAGCGACAAGAACCCCAACTCAATGCATCATAAACATGAAGGTAATTTGTTGTCTCACATAAAGAGAAGCCTTGAGATAGTGTTAACTCTGTACTCCACGATGTGCTCCATGGAGAGACCCTTTTCATCTTTTGGATTGGCATCCTTGTGGGGTGGCCTTGTGCCTGGGCAGGCTGGCCTCATGCCTACAGCATAGCTTCGGCAATGCCGGGCTTCATATCTGGTTATTCTTTCATATGAGCAAATAAACCTCATAAGCGACTAGGAGAACTTCCCTTTTATCTGACTGGTCAGACTGACACCATCTTTAAACCAATTACCGGCAGGGTGAACAGGATGAAGATGATTGATGTAGAACCGACATTGGAAGACTTTTCCTTAAAGGGCCAGATGGTAAATATTTTAGGCTTTGCTGGTCATGAGGCAAAATTGAGGACATTACGTGGGTGATTATATAACCATTTAAAATATAAACATTTTAAAATTTAAAAACCATTTAAATTTTCCAGAGAAACAGAATTTCTCTGTTTTCCAGAGAAACAGAATCACTGGGAAGGTGCATGTGTGTGTATATCTCTCTCTCTCTCTCTCTCTCTCTCTCTCTCTGTGTGTGTGTGTGTGTGTCTATGTATCTATCTATACAGAGATTTATCTTAAGGAATTAGCTCATATATTTATGGAGGCTGGCAAGTCCAAAATCTGCAGGGTGGGCCAGCAGCCTAGCAACCCAGAGAAGAGCTGATGTTGCAGTTCAGAGCCAAAGGCTATCTGCTGGCGTAATTCCTTCATGCTCAGGGGAAGTCAGTTTTTTTATTTTTTTCAGGTCTTCAACTGACTGGATGACGCCCACTCACATTATGGAGGGCAATCAGTTGTATTCAAAGTCTACCAATTTACATAGAAATCCCATATAAAAACACCCTCATAGAAACATGTGCAATAATATCTGGGCCCTGTGGCCTAGCCAAACTGACACATCAATTAGCCATCACACATGCTTGGCTCCAGGCCAGGGAAAAATGGGTAGCAGGGTGGATTTGGTCTTGGCTACCCTTTGCCAAACTCTGGCTTCAGCTGACACCTGAGATGGGAGTAGGATCATTTTTCTTAAGAGTGGGAATCTGAACAAAACAGCAGTCAGTTAACAAAGAACAAAGATGATGGGTAAACAACCAATCCTGCTATGCTGGTCCTACCTATTTAGCCTAGATTTTGATAGAATAAGAAAGAAATGCATTAAGAAACTTGAAAACATTGCATTAGAATGTAAAGCAGAATTCCTGATCCAGCACTTTTCCTCCTCAAGTTTTTTTTTTAATGGGTGACTCAATATTTCTATTTGTCAGTACATGTGTTGCCCTGTTCTTCTCTTCCTGTGCAGGAGGCAGGCCATCCTGCTCTCCAGGCATAAGAGAAAGGCAACCTGTGACTGCTTGTGGAAGGAGTGGGACGGGCTGTGAATATTGTTTCTGTAGGTGGTAAGTACACCCATTGGGTGCAGGCAGATGCCCTCCATGTAAGAGGAGCATTTCAAGGATAACGCGCTGTGGGTTTTGGCAGAGGTGAGTTGCATGGTTCTCTCCCAGCAGTTGAGGTGGGAGCAAACTCCAGTCACCCATTAGGCCAATTAGCATCCTGATGTGCTAACTGTCCTGCCCAGTCTTGCAGGGCTCTTTTTCAATTCAGAGCAAATGACTCTAGTCATTCTAGTGCTGGGTACTGTGCTGGGCATTGGGAATGTAGATTTGTGTAAGAAAAGGTGCTGGCCTTCCTGAGGAGGGAAGTTAGGAGGTGGAAACAGATACCAACTATTGTATGATCCTTGACTGTGATGGGGTGGGGAGGGGACACTAGCTTCTGAGTGCACATTTGCAAATGTGGGAGGGATGATTTTGGTTTCCACAAAAACTGGGGGATATCTGTGACATTTGGTGCCTGGTTGCTGGGGTGTCAAATGTCCCACAGTGCATGGGATGGTCACATGTGACAAAGGATTTGACACACTTAAAGTACCAGTAGTCCGTGGAAATGAACTAAGGGATTGGGTGATGATCTTTCATTTGAGGGAAGTAAAAGGAAGCTGTAACAGCAGCCCCTTTCCTCCTTCCTACCTGAGGGGCATGACACCCACAGGACAAGAAAGCTGGAATCTGCTGGGCTTCTTACTTTGGATAAAGCTCATGTTTCTGCTGAAATTCAGGAAAGACCTAGGAATAGCTTTGGTGAAATAGGGACTCCACTTGTAAATTGTGAATTGCACAACTCCAGGGGGAGCCATTCATGTTTCAATCACTATTGATTCATGTAGCTATTACCAGCTTTTCCTGGCTGCTGGCAATAGAGTATCTTAAGAAAGGGATCCTTACTAATTTTCACCGAGCCAGTGGCCGGGCTGGGCTGTTGGGTGGAAGAGAGAGGGACATGTAGGCAGCTTCCCGTGTGGAGAAGACCAGGTGGTAGGACTCGGGCAGCCAACCATAGTAGTGACAGGGGCCAGGGAAGGATTCTGGTCTCTGGTCCACCTGTCGTGGGCGCAGTGAAGCGGCAGGCCTCCATCAGGGTTCAGTGGTCAGGGGCAAATTCAACTTTCCACTCACAGTGAGAGAGATGCCCAAGGGTCTTTGCTCTCCTTCACTGACTGGTATGGGAGGGATTGTGGTCTCGAGGGGAGGAAAACACATTGTTCTGACAACTTGTAGAGGCAGATGGGCCTTCACCCAAATCTGGTGCCCTACGCACATCAAAAGGGGATGAAAAGGTGTGTTAACTCCCCTGGCACGCCAGCTTACGTATACAACTCTCCCCAGAGCCTGATTCACTTATGCTCAGGATTTGTCCACCACAAAAATGGGTTCAAGCTTTTGAGCTTCAGTTTGGCACTTCATGCTTTTCTGAGTCTCAGGGGGATAGCAGGGCAGGTCCCTAATAACCTCCCATGACATTGGGAAGGAGCACGCTGTGGTGACAGCCCCTGGGCACGGAGGCTTGCAGTATTTGAATCTCTTCCAGTGCCAAATGAGAGAGTACTCAGAAAGTACTCAGGATCTCCTGACCATCTTGCCCCATGTGGGGCACCACTAGAAGAGGGAGGGGTGAGACTTAATAGCTGTTGGCATTCAAAACAGTGGACTCAGAAGGTGGGAAACTGAGGCGAGCTTAGCTTAGGGAGGCATGGGGTCCGGTGACTCTCATGAAGTTGGGTAACACAGGACTCACCAGGGCATGTTTGAGCCAGAATCATTGAAACTGATAGAAGATCTGCTTTAGCTCTTGAGGCCTAGAACATTTGCTGTGGTCAATTCCTTGGGCAGATCCTTTAACGAGAGCTGAACATTTTCTGGCGACAGGATCAGGGTGATGTGCTTAACCAGGGTCCATATTAAGAAGTGCTGTGCTGAGGCTTGCTTTCCACACTTTCCCAAAACGAAAAGTGGTACCGCTCTTAGCTTTCCTCCGGAGGCTGGAAAATAAAATGATGAATTGAACTCTAAATGTATTGCAAGCTAAATACACTCGGGGATAGAAGCGAACAAGAAAAGAAAGGAGGCAGAGTTATTGAGGCAACAATTCAGATTTAATTGCATTTGATATAGACCACCCTTTAAAAATAGTTTGGTCGGTTAAAGGCTGCAGTAATTTATGGAACTATCTTACTGCTTCCAGGGAAGTTGACAAGTCTGGACTGAATCAGGAGAATCAGCATAAATCTCAGCCGATGCCTAATTTTAGAGATGTCTGGTCCTTGAAGGAGTCTTGCCACAGCCAGATGGGGTGGGAGACAACATTTGAGGAGGGAAAAGCATGAGGTGCCAAACTGAAGCTCAAAAGGTTAAACCCATTTTTGTGGCTGATAAATCCTGAGCAAAAATAAATCGGATTTTGGGGAGAGTTGTGTATGTAAGCTGGAGTGCCTGGGGGAGGATGAGGGAGTCTTGAAGGATCACAGGGAGTTTTGAAAATTCCTCCAGGCCTGGATGTTTTTCATCTGGAAAAAACCGAGCTCATTCTCCCCAGGAGCTGCCCCAAACACGGTAGCGGGGTGACCGTGGGCTCGCCAGGACTTTGCTTCCTTCTGTGTCCAGTACAGAAATGCCCTTCTCCTCTGTTAGCAAAACTTTGATGTCCTGCTGAGGTTCCTCCTGGTCGCTAAGATGCTTTCCTTTTCACGGCCTGGAGAAATGAGGCCCCTCTTCTGGACCATTCTTCCACTCTTGTGTTCTCTGTTGCATGGTGTTACATGTCAATGTGTTTCCATCTCTGCTTCTAAAAGTTTTCAAAGGAAAGTCTGTGTCCCATTCATCTGTGAAGAGCCTGCTGTATCACAGCACGTGGTACTTGCGAAGAGTTCCATTAAGATAGGAATTGGAGCTGGACCCAAAGGATTAGGCTGCTGGTCTTAATGGTAAATTATAGCTCTTAGGCTCTATGATTTTAAATCCAACTCACTGAGGCTGTATGGAGAAGGGTATGTGAGTGTTGACATGGCCTTTGTACTTCTCAGAACATTGGTTTTACTGCACTTGTTATTAGGATTGTTTATTATTATTATCATTATATTATTCAGAGGAAGGGACAACAGGAGCAGAGAGACTTTCTGTAGTGGTTGAACAACTGCTTATTCATTTAGGGGATTGTATTGCCAGGAACCAAATCACTGAGGATCATATTATCATACATTTGAAGTTTAAGATTGTGATGGATTAGGGGAGTGTTTTTCGAGAGTTTGTTCCCAGACCATCTACATCAGAATCTTTGGCTCAATGGATATCCCTGGGTTCTGGTCCTAGACCTACTGAATAAGAATCTCTTCGGGGGTGCTGAGGAATCTTCACTTTAAACAAATTCCCTGGGTGACACCAATGTACACTAAAGTTGTAAAATAACTTTGGTGGGCTTGGGGATGGGGGAAATTTAGCCCAAGCAGCACAATCAGGTGTGGATTTGTTGTGGTACCAGGAACAGAGCAGTCTTTGAAGTCTGAAACTTCTTTTTTTTTTAAAAGATTTTATTTATTTATTCATGATAGACATAGAGAGCGAGA